ATATATATATATATATATAAACGAATCGGAACCGAGTACAAAATGTTTATAATTTGAAAAAATCACTCTTCAGTTTGGCCATTCAAAAAAAAAAAAAAAAAAAAAAAATGGAGAAGTGTTTTCAATCCATTGGCAACAGGAAATGTTTAACAATTGTGTAATTTTATAATATCACTTAAGAAAGTTCACTGCATAGAATTGGTATTTGTAAATTAATTTGCACAAATGATCTGTTTCAAAGTTTTTTTAAAACTACTGTTTTTCCTCCTGCAAACGGATCAATGCCTAATACTTCTTAAACCTCTTGACTCTTCGTTTATCACACATCATAAGAGAATTATAAATTATAGAGAATAATATCAGACGATCATTAAGTAATAATAATAATTCCTTAATGGTACGCAAACATTTTGTCACTGCTATATAAATTAATACGTGTACATTCGGTTTGCTTGCGAATACTTTCCTATTCCAGTGTAAGCAATTTATTAAGCTTAATACTTTGTGAAGGATAAAACGGGAAGAACTTATTCCTTCTTCTTTTCCACACGTAACCATAAGTTTCCAAAATCCGAGCGTACAATTGAAAAATGGCAGAAATTGTATAAAAACATTGTATCCTTTGAACTTACTTGGCTACCTGAGACATTTTGTATCGTTCAGTCATTAAAAATTTTCTAAAGCGAAATAAAAAAAAAAAAAAAAAAAGAAAAGAAACAAGGGAAAAAAGGAAGAACATACACTCGAAAGTACATACACGCGCTAACACTGAAAGCAATATCTAGAATAATATCAAAAAGGTATATGCTTAGTTTTTACTCAATCTTTTGTCTCTCCTATTGAAACTTAAAACACACGGTAACTAATACTTTTTGTACGTACGCGTTCGATTCTAAATATTGCTTTTAATGTTTCCAATTCTTTTTTTCTTTTTCTCTTTTTTGTTGTTGTCTTCTTCGAGAGTGAAAGAGTGAAATAGAAATAGAGAAAGAATGAGATTGGAAGAGGCATCATGTTCTTGTTTTATAGTAGAGTAACAAATTTCATAATGTTATCAGCACTTGTGGAATGCCTGCAGTCATTGTGTGATCTCAAAATACTAAATACATATACTTTAAAAAAAATAATAATAAAAAAAAAGAACTATATGCTCCGTCAACTGCAACCAGTCCTTAAGCAAACGTTAAGGAATACTGGCAAAATTATTTACACATTTAGCATTACCTCTCGTCGACAAAGGGAAATTCTTTGTGACAATGATGAATAAATTCAATGATACTAGAAGCATTAAAATGAACGTTTTTACACCATACATATCAAGTCTGAAAAAATTGCAATGCTATGAGCTAGTCTTAAATCAAAAGAAAATTCTCTTCTTTCTGAGAGCAATATATACCTAACTGGTACATTAAGCTTGAAAGTACTTTTCAAGGTACATAAGACTGGATTATGTTATATATATTATAATATATATATTATATATATGTTATATATATATTATATATATATACATATAGCACGTATCTTAAAATGAAAAGCAAGTTTGTGCAGATAACAAATAAAGAGCACTCCTTAGGAACTAATGAAACTTAAGCGTTATTACCGAGATCTGAATATAATCAACTTGTAAAAATTAAGAGTATCATATGTACAATTACATTAGGGATCTTCCAATAATAAGAACAAAATTTTGTTGAACAAAATAGTGTTAAAAGGGGGATATAAACACGTGAGAAACAAGAACACTTTCTATACGTTTTATATGCTATTCAGATTCTTCTAAGCACAAAACAGATATTTTGCATCTTCAAACTAACTGTCTCTTAAAAATATCACACGGAAGCCTTATCATCAGAAGATTACCTAATTTTTTTTTAAATTTAGAAGCAACTTTTTACTCGTTCAGTAGAATTAAATAAGTCGTTAAATAAAAAGAACCTTTCTCTTATACTTATTTCATCGCGTAACGAAATTCGCTGCGACTGGAAAGTGAAATAAATGGATCTTGCTTGATGTGCGTTTTCTTTCAAATTCAGAAAAAAATGTACATTGAAAGACAAGGAAAAGAAAAAAAAAAAAAAACCAAAAAAATTAAGATAAATTTGTACAAATGAATAAAACATCTTGCGTCTTCAAATGTTTACATCTTTCCACGTTGTAAAAATCCACGTTGAATATTGCAATATAATATTACAAAGTTCTTCTAAAACAACAAAATCCACTTCTTCCAATTTTCAACAGAGAAAAATTTGGTTACTCAATGAAATGATCAATTAGCATGAGACGTGTATAGGCGGTACAGAATTCTAGTTATAAAGTACACTAAAAGTACAGAATTAATCCTATTGACCGAAGGCCGATATGTTATACAAACGTCATAAATTTGAAATCGTGCCTGTAC